AGAACAGCAAAAAATTTATGAGAACTTTCAGGCGGTTAAAGAATTAAAAGAGACCGTTAAGAGCCACGAACAGAAAATAATTTATCTTCAATCTCCCGAGCATATAGAAAACTCTATTCGGGTGAAGAAATTGGAGGAGGAAAAAAAGGAACTAAATAATAAATACCAGAGCAAAATAGATAATTTACAGACTCAAAATCAAGACTTACAAAAACAAATTCTTGCTAAACAAGAACAAATTCAAAATTTAGTATTAAGACAAAAAGGGCAAGGGAAAGGACAAGATTTTGAGAAGTGGTTTTATGAGGAATTGGTTAAAGTGTTTGATGGTCAGGATAGAATTACCGATGTAAGTAAAGGTCAAGCAGGAACCGGAAAAAGAGCTGACTTTCTCCAAGAAGTTTTAACCGAAGTTGAACCAAAAAAGGTGGTCGGGCGAATTGTTTATGAGACCAAAAATACTGAAAAATGAGATAACAGTTGGGTTGAAAAACTGGAACGAGATATGGTATTTCATCATGCAGATTATGGATTTATTGTGGCGGCTTGTGAAGGAGACAAAATTATTCATTCAGCCAAAACTACTGACCCCCGCAAAAAGATTTACATCAGTGGTGATAACATCAACCTATTCTTGGCAATAAAAACTATTCGAGAATTATTAATTACCAAACATAACCTTACGAAAGCCGACAACTCAAATGATAAAGAACAAAAGTTAAAAAAAATCGAGGAGTGAACCAACGATAAATTGCCTAAATATATAATTGATTTGCAAAAGCAATTAGAAAACCAAGAAACTGCCGCTAATGCGATTATTGACAAAGCCACTAAATTAAAAAAATTTAAGGATGAAATTTATCGATTAGTGATGATTAATATTAATGAGGAATTAAGGAAATGTTTGACATAGATTTTTGTCATTTTTGAAAAAAATAAGTATAATTTATAACAAAATTTCTTTTATCTCTAAAAACAGAACCTCAGAAAGTCTAAATTAAACCAATTTTTCCACCAGTTATTTGCTCTGATTTGGTTAAAAATACAGATATATAATGTAGATAAATAAGATTATATATAAATTATAAAATAAATACATATATGAAAGAAATCTTATTAATAAAAACTGACAATAGTGCCAAAATAAAAAACCTTTTAGACGAAAATAATGCCAATTATGAAATAGTCTATAAAGATACAGTCGATTTAACCGAGGAGGAAATTTGACGCCAAGATGCCCGGCTAGCCAGCCAAGATAAAGAAAGACAAAAAGAAATTGCTGCTTGGGACAAAATAACCAGCAAAATTGATGATGAGTAAACCATTATCACATGAACTACTCACTACTTAACTCTTTCGAGTTTGAAGTAGGAGTTTCTGATGGTTTAACTGGTAAAGACCAGCCATGTTCCCATTTCTCGAAGTTATATTGTTTCTAACAACAGAGGGGGTAGTCGCCCATTGCCCGTTCCTAACTCCGTTATACCTTGGTATAATATATTCTTGGCAGCATTAACATCCCTATCATTTTCATAATCACAATTAGGATTAATGCAGATAAATCATCTTTCTTTTTCTAATTCCTTATTAATCGTTTTACATTTAAAACACCTTTTGCTGGTATTGGCTGGATTAACAAAATGAACTCATTTACCAGCTTCCTTCGCTTTGTAAATGGAGAAATCTACTATCATGCTTAAACTTGTCTCTTTCAACCCTTTAACTGAATATCTGCCAATCTTTCGCTTTTTGCCTTGCTTGTTTTTCTTTTCAGTCATCTTTTTCAACTTTAAATCTTCATAGACAATTAAATCAAACTTGTCAACTATTCTCCGAGTAATTTTGTGATTTCTGTCTTTTACTCGGTTAGTTAAGCGTTGACATTCCTTAACTAACTTTCTTTTGACTCTTTCGTGCTTTTTGCTTATTTTGGTTTTATCTCCCTTAAATCTCGGTTGTTGCTTTCTACTTAACGACCTCTTTAATTCGGTTATTAATTCCTCCTCTCTTTCTCAATATTTAGGGTTAACAACTTTTCAACCCTCATTATTGGCAACTATGTTAATGCTTCCTCTATCCCCGCCCATTACTTTTTTTACTTCATTCAATGGCATTTTTGGTTTCTCTTGAACTTCACAAACAAAAGAAATTAATATTTTGTCTTGATTTTTTCAAGAGATAGTTAAAGTTTTAATTTCTCCTTGGAGTGGTTGATTAAATTTTAAAGGGATTTTTAACTCTCTTTCTGATTTTTTAACTGCTCCTTCTTGCTTAATGAATAAATGATTGTTCTCAATTTTGAAAACCCAAACCTTATTCACGATTGGTTGCGGATAGTTGAAACTGCTATACCAACCCTTATCCGTTTTTATTCTTGGATACTTAGCTTTGGAATTAATTCTCTTGTGTTCTTGATATTTTTTTCAAGCATTAGGAACTTTCACTCTTACTATTTCTTGGAGAATTTGAGATTGAATGCTTTT